TTAAATTAAGTTGTAAGCTGATAATTAATAACAAATATATGTATAAATTAATTGCTGTTCGTTAGTCTCGAGAACTCGAGAATGGCAGAACCGATTTTGCTCAAATTTTTTTTTAAGATATTCGTAATTGCCAGGAGAAGATTGGTACGAAAGAAAATTTTAGGAAAATCCACCGAAAATTGGAAATCTTTATGTAAAAAATACAACAGTAGCGCAACAGTGTATTATATTATTTTGGTTGATATTGGTTAATTGGGGGGCATATTTGTTGATTTCTTATAAGTTATAATATAAAAATGAATCTCTGAATGTGTTGCTAAGCATAATAATTCTACTGTACTTGTGTTGTGACTGAACTAATCCTAATGGTTGGACCGATTTAAATGAATTTTTTTGTATACGTTTGTGTATGCCCCGGATAATTTAGATTCACAAATCACCCCCCTAGGTCCAACCAGGGGATGTGCTCAAACGGGGATTTAGAGATTTACTGTGAACATTTTTGTTTATATATGGTCGCCATTGGTTGCTGTGAAATCAGTGTATTCATTCAATGCATTTAATTTTTTTGTACGCTGTGTTTTGATATTATATTTATCGCAATTACGTAAATATTGAGCGTATTATACTCACATATGCCACTTATTCGTGGATGAGGAGGAAATATTGGTCGACACTCGACAGACTTGGCATTTACAATTAGTCCAGGTTTAGGAGGAGTTCAGTGACATACTTGGTATAACTTTGATACTCTAGAGTTAAATAATAAAGTTACTTACAAACATCACGGGGTCCGCGATTAGAAGAGTTATAATAAGAACACCATACAATAAACAAAGTTTGAGTCATATAGAGTTGGTACATTTAAAGAGAAACGAAGTGAACGGGACTAGCTAGTATAATAATAAAAATAATAATATTTTGTCCATGGCACAAAGTTTAAATGTGTACAAATTTCTATACCTATAGGGCACAAACATGGGGAAAAGCCCTGACCGTTATATAAGAAATGACAAAAATGCATAATTTTCCACCAACAAGTCAGAGAGAAAAATAAAGTCTAAATTTCTCATTCATATTTTAAACCTATCTCCTTCTTACTACAGATACATTATATAGCTATATTGGGTATATTGAATTTAAAACGGCCTACAAACAATTAAAAAACTGAAATGACACGCATTCGCTGTTATCCATAATAATATATCCTCAAAGTTTTACTGTTGGCAAATAGTTGTAGTAATTTTTAGGATCCTTTGAATTCCCTAATTTATTACAATGGTTGTTTATTATCGACACACGTAGGTACTACGTATTGCGGAGTATTAGAGTTTTAACTACTGTAATCAGTACGTCGCAGTACGACCAATGATGATACCGCTTGAAAAATATAGTAAATAGGTATTCAACTTTGTACCACGATAAAAACTTTTCCCCTAACAGTCGGTTTAGTAGACATAGGTAGGTATGTAAGCAGATAACTATAGGTAGGGCTTGACACGGATCCATGCAGTCCCGTTCCTATACAACTACTACCTTACGTCCTCACTGCGATAATCATTAGCTGCAGTCGATACCGTTTCCTCGGCGAGAGTCAGCTGTTGTCACCCGCTGTCATATCCCGTTACCGGTTCAGGTAGAGCTGGCCCTTTCCGAATTAAGACGCGCTGGTGGTATTTCACAATACTCCGCATCTGATACAGGCCATACGTATCGTGGTACCCATATTCGCAATTTCCACTTTTGACTGGGGGGGGGGGCTGAATATATTAAAATCAAGCAGACAGTATAGCATTTTTAAATTGTATGTCCCGGGTTTTTTTTGGGGGGGGGACTTAGCCCTATAGTATTACCCACATAAAGTTAGTTGGGGCAAGTGGGTTGATAAGACCTTGCAATCGTCAGACGAACACGGGTATATAGGATAGCCTTTACGTCATTACGCAGGATGACAGGAAATATAAACGGGGCAGACCAGCCATGTCTTCTATTCCTCGCTATCTACCCACCACCCACTACTCCGGCATAAAACTATTTGTTGCTGCTTCTGCTGCTACAGCAGCACAGCCTCCACACACAATCCGTTATGTCGTTGCCATCAATACTCTAATGCGACCCTCGACCCACGCCCGACTGACTTTGACCATGACTTTCCCATATCACTGTCCATACCTACTTCCTAACCCATCGATATGTCTATAGATAATATATATATATATATTACTGATCATGTGATATATATATATATATATTACTGATCATGTGATATGTACGCGTGTATCTTTAGATTGTTTATCGACAAAAACATATTACCTGAATAATAATAAGACTGATTACTAAAGTATAACTTCTTTGATGATAACAAATTATTATCTTTATAAATTCATAATATTATAATATAATAATTTAATATTCACAAAAAATCGTATTATTTTGAGTAGCTTATAGGTATTATAACTAATAAGTAGGTACTAAAGTACCTAATGGAAAATGGAAATAAATGGTTTAATGGCTTGCTGGTGACAAACTAAAACCACGAAATTTATAAAATACATTACTATTAGTATTGATCTCCCTGGGCAGCAAACTAAGAGCTACGTCCCGTAGGTTTATCAAATAAATATGTACCGTTAAAAACAAAAAATAGGAACTATTTAATAATAAATATTAAAATACCAGCGTAATATTATTTACCACTGTTTTTTTGGGCCAATAAATAACTTGGTCGGTAGAGCACAATACTTTTAATCTTGGATATCGTGGGTTCAAGTCCCTGCACTTTGTCAAATCGCTTATAATAGAGGTGACATGCATTAAAACCGAATGCAACCAGTTTTTGAAAATATTTAAATTTTCACAACTCGTTTGCGCAAAAAAGCGTATAAAATAAATTTTAGCTACCTGTTATCTGTTAGCTTAACTGAGATGTTAATTAGGTTACCGCACTATATTTACGACTAACGATTTTGAATACTACACTGTGACCAACGTTTGTTCACTGTGGAATTGTACGTATATAGGTTGTAGGTACTAAAAGTACAAAAAATCCAAAACGATATATTAAACCATACCTAATTAGAATTTTAGTTTTAGGTTATACGTCTTAATTTCCATCAAATATTTGACAATTAGTACCGCTATCTGTGACCGATAATTAATTTATCTTAAGTACTAAGTAGGTTAAAATTCAAAAATGTATATTATTATATAATATATTATATGTGTTTTCGTTGTGCGATTTGTGCACAAACGAGTTGTACGCCTTCAGGTTAACGACAGTTTTCGTTGTGCACAACAGAGTCGTCCGTTTTCGGGTAAAACATTTTTTATGCTCCCAAAAGAATTGCACCAAAAAAAAAAAAAAACTACTATCGTCTTCCTACCTTTATACCATCTATATAATGACTATATTTATTTCTTTGCCAGCATCCGAAAATACTGTGTGGAATACGTTTATCGATTAACTTCCGTACTTCTATAACCTTATTGAGTGGCATAACCAGGCTTATGAAATTGTGGGGGGGGGGGTTAAACACCACTGACCTTATTGGCATTATGATATTTATAACACTGCACTGTTCTGTTATTAATTTATCAATTAAATGATATAATATGAAGGCTGTCTCAAACTCTCAAAACCAACCTCCGATGTGACATTCACTACATACAGGTACCTACTTCGTTAACATATTTCTACATGTCACAACCGATACATTAAAACATTATCCATGTCGAATTTCCACCGTTTCCGTTCGGTATTGTTCTAATGTCTACTGTAACAAAATGCAGAATACAATTTTACCTTCCACCACCACATGATGGCCAAATTTTTCTGGGACACTGAAGGTATATTATTGTGGAACAAGTTTATGGATCCTGGGACCACAACGGTTTACTATGAAACTCTACCCAAGTTGATAAGATCAACCTAAAACAAAATACAAAGAATCCTTACCAAGTATTATGAAATATACTGGCTGAGCCCAATTTACAAATTTAGGTAACTGTGTAAAAAACATTAATTGAGGTAGACACAATGAACCATTAAAAATAACAAGATATATACACCTACAAATACGTCATATAAAATAGAAGTATAACATACCATTATAACACAATATTATTTACAAGTTTGTTTTAATTGATGTGTAAAAAATGATTAAAATGTTAAGATAAGGTTCGTATAATTGGCACGAGACATCAAACGTCTCGTGTGTTCATTAATCATATAACTAGTGGAACTGAAGGGTACGTAGAACGTAGAATTGGACAGAGAAGACCGTTGGGGAACTTAAGGTCAATTAGGGAAAGTACAGGTAGGAGAATTAACGTCCAGCCACGTTATAAACGTAGAACGTCAAATGACCGCAAAAAAGTCCAACACGATTCTTGTCGGAAACACTTTTATTAATACTTAAAAACAAACATAACATAATTCATATGACCGTATTACAGGCATAGCCTATCCACGTACGACAGCCATAATGCTCCTGGCGAACTCTACGACCGCACCTGGAGGACTCTACATCGTCTGTCTCAACGACGTCGTTTTATTACAGCCATAATAAAATTAAAATAATTATGTGGTCTCATCACAATCACTTCATTTACCCATCCCATTTTAATAACTTAATATATACTAAAATATAATATGAATTATTATTATTTTATTACTTACTAATGATGTGTAAAATATTTGTAAATTACAGTCGGTACTCGGTGGGTTATACAACCCATGGTTGATTATGATTTTTTTTTCTAGTTTGATTAATAAATATTCTACTAAAACTAACATAGAACAATACAAAAATATTATGGAAACATTATAATATATTAAAAATAATTTATATTATATAATATTATATAAAATTTGGTGCAAAGTTAATATATTTGTGAAATTAACATATTTCAAATTTCTGGTCAGGTAGCACTGCTGATACCTTGTCTGTTGTATAGATTGTAAATAAACTTTTTAAAATAAATAAAAAAAAAAAACATCTTTAAAGATAAAAAACTTCTTCGTTGCCTTCATTCTCAGACATAATATAATCAACTTCATCTAAAATACTTCCTTCAAATTGTTTTACCAACAAACAAGATAAATTAGCATTTTCAGTTAACAGATTCATATAATATTCTTCACCTTGATTTTTTAGGAAAGTTTTAAATTTAAATACGTTATGATCTTCCCAATTTTCTGTAGCCTTTTTTCCTGTTAAATTCAATACTGCAGCGATGGCCTGTTTCGTTAAAGGCAATAATAATTTAATATCTATTTTGGATGTACTTGGTGCTTCGATTGGTTCCGTTTCACCAGTGTCCAGAGTTAGTATCAATTGGTCTAGAATGTTTATATCTGATAGTTCTTTTTTGGTTAATTCACCAAAATTTTTTAAACGGTTTATGAAAAAAGACATAATCGCTTTCAACAATTTATTCGCGAATTGAATCGTTTTTTTATTTTCCTCATGAACTTCAAGCGTTGACAACATTTTTAATACTTCGATATGGTTGATCAATAGACTGAATACAGCAGGCATCACATTACGCATTGCTTCAGAGTGTCGCTTTGCTATCGACGATCCATCTACTTCATATTGTTTATCTATAACTTCTTGCAAGAAGTCTTTTGATATTGATTTGATCACTTTATTCAATACTTTACTATCTGTTTGGTTTATCAGCACCATGTTTTTCATTAACTGTACATTAACGTCAATATCACTATAATTAAAATTGCCTACTTTATAATCGAATAGAACGGCCTCTAGATTTTTAGCAACAGTATCAAGATCAACATTTCCAAACTGATATTTCAGATGTTTATTCCTAAATACTCCTATATCATTTATCAACGTTTCCATTTTACTTATAAAGTTTTCCCTATAATCAGCATTTTTCACCATGTGTTTAGCGTCAAACAAGCAATTAAACGCTTTTCCTAAACGATCTGAATTTATTTTTAGGAAGTATAGTATTGACATTGAACCAGTCACTGTTAGAGAAATATCATCAAAAATTCCGAAACTATCTTCAATAACATCAGCAATTGAGAATTTCTGTGTCATATTATTTTCTTGTATACTTTGCAAAGTGTTAAATACAGTTCTGACGACACCTACTGTAGCTTTATACAAGTTGAACGGAGGGGTCCCAGGTGGACCCGGATTATCGTAGAATGTATCTTCTAATTGATCATAATTATAGTTAATATAATCTTGTGCAAAAGGGTCTGAATTATTTTTTTCTATTGCCGACATCGACATTTGCGTAGAATTACTACTATTTACAGACATGGCTTTTGATGTAATCTTCGGATATTTCTTCGTTAAATGATTACCCTTGAGAGATAGAAAAGCGCTGCCGTTATTTTTATTTTGACTCGATATGACACTGTTTTTTAACAAAAGAGGGGATTTCATTGTCATTGCAGCTCCAACGGTCGGAGCGAGGCTTGATTTAATACAAGACAAAAAAATACTCACCAAATAAAAATTTATAACTTGCATTTTGGTCGGTTCGATGTAACTTGACTACTCAATAAATAGTTAGTAACTAGTTCCAACTTCATAACATTTCATAGTGCTTCGATATAAAACGGTTGAACAAATAACACTCAACAGTTTTTTTTTTTGTTTGAACAGTTTTCTTTCACAATATTGTACTTTAATGCGTTCTAAAAATCTAAAACAATTTTTATAAGCTTATAGTTGAATACCGTGAACACTGAACATAATATAGGTTACCTACTAGATAAAGGCGGATTTCCACTATACACGTTTGCCGTGTACACGAAAAATGTTCAGCTATGTCCAACAACACGGTATCGTGGTTAATCGTGTGGTAACTGATCCTAACCAACCAATCACAGCTATGAATTTGTATGCAAGTACACGCATACGTGTATAGTGGAAACCCGCCTTAAGTGTATGTTACTAACAAGCATAATATTATTATACCTAAGGGTACCCATTAACATTGACATATTTAGAGTTTTGTTTTAACATAGGTATTAAAACAAAACTAACCTATGTGATCAAATAGATTTTTATTTTAAAGCAATAATTATAGGTTTATTTTATATTTTGTATTTTCTAGACATTATTCAAAACATTTTGGCTTACTTGTGCATTTATATACATTTTAAATCCCCCCCCCCTTCACCGTAATTGTTGATAACATTTGTATTTTTTATGTCTTTAAATCTTAAAAACTAATACGAGATTATTCATAGTTCATTCTTTTAAAAAATATATAATATAGAAAATACATATGCACAATTTTCTCATAAGCGTAATAAGTACACATTTTGACGGAACTGGATATTGAAACCACAGTTAATAACTTACTATTTTTCCTCTAATGACTTTATTCATAGTGTTTATATTTTAAAAATATTAATCGTTGAGACTCGAAACTGTTTGAAAATACGCATGTTCTATACCTATACATATAATAGGTATACACAATTAATTTTACCAAACATTAAGATTCGATTTCAGATACGCGTTAATAATTATAATTTTTTCATAGGTACCTTTATAATGATTTACCATAGAATTCAATTTAATCACATCCATAACAGTGCTTCCGCAATGACGAACGATGCAGGTTGTTGAGTGCACCCGTCTTACAGGAGATGGTGACAGGATAGGATGATGGTAGAAGCGTCAAATGATCAACAATTTGTAGTTCGATATATATTTATTAAAATTGTAGAAAAAAGAAAAGTTGAATTTATACTGTTTAGATTATTCGAATTAACGAAGAATACTGATGCCTTAGAAAATAAGCGATTGCTCGAATATTCTCTAAGTCCGAAATACTCCGTTAACGAAAATAATCTAAGTCCAAAAGAGAAAATAGTGATTACCAAAATCGAAGAGGTACAGGAGCGAGTACGTACGGTGGCAAGGTCACTTCTGAATAATGGGCCGCTCCTAGGGCTCCTATATAGTACTATCTCCTCTCTTTACTAGATCGCTGGAGGACTGCGTCGTTGGTTCTCATAGTCCAGGGGCCTTCCACAATTAGATGATTGACTATTTCGTAGTGCAGACACTGACCTATGGCTATGACTCAGGGTTGCAGATGTGCCTTTGGTCGATGCGAGGTATCTTTCTAATAAGTGAGTATACCCACGGCCGTCTTATCACAGTGCCAAGATCTAATTCCTAAAATCTACTACGCGCCGAGGAGTTTCCATAGATATCTTACCGGCTCCGGTTTTGTCATCTGGCCGTTGGCGAATGCTGAGGCTGTTGCTAACAATTATAATATTGCTTTCCCAGGGTTTGTGTGCAACGCTGTTCCCTGACATAATCTCAACTATCTATGTGTTACTATAGTATATTAGATATTGTGTATTATAACTATAAATAGGGATGAAGTAGAGGGGTCCGAAGGTACTCAAAACCTAGACTAATATCTCCGGTATTTTAGTTCAAGAAATACGCTTTGAGTTTAAATTTAATGTCTTTTAACTAAATAGATGCCTGAACGATTTTATAAATATTTTTCAACATCGTATTGCATAAATGCATCAATGCAGCTAGTTCTTAATGACGTACCTATACTCTTGATATACCACACCGTTAAATCGTTCGATCACGCATACATGCTCATTTTATACTTGAATAATTTTCCGGTCGTTACCTTGGGCCCCAGTCGTCTCTTAATGTTATGAGCTTATAATTAAGAGCTTCAATTCTTGTCATAATTATTCGTCTGAACACTGTTATAGTTAAAGTATCATTTTAATATTTCCAAAAGTCTAATGATTTAATATCAAACAGGTTTTAGAAAATTTTTAACAATAGACTCGAAAAAACTAATGTTCATAACATGAACATGTCCACACTTAAAATAATATATTCCCTCAATTATAATTGAAATAATACTATATAATATCTATTATGAAATGCATTTCTCATAAACCGTTTATACCGTATTAACGTCGCAATATATCATATATAATACAATTTTCCTAAACACCATATTGATATTACACTGTGTGACAAGTTAAAGTATACTGTCTATTAGCATTGAGTATAATATAATGTATAGAAAAACAATGTACTATAAAAATATCCTATGCTCCCCGGGAGGTGGCTAATAGATGGCGCATGGAAAAATTGGTCTTGGAGGCGAAAACAGTGTAGTAATTCTACCTTTTATTAATTATTATTATTGTACACAATCGCCAGTGTCAAGTTAATCATTATAATAATTACGTTTATTCTAGAATGTACAATATAGCAGTATAATGAATTATTATATTATTATTATTACATTAAATTTAATATAATGGCAATATGCATAAGTTTTTTTTTTTAATTTTACGTTATAATTAATTGGAAGATTTTGTATAAGTTTCTGATAAAGCGTACTTATGTAAAATAATAATAACTGAAGAATATAAAAAAAAAAAATTATATTCTGAATAATATTTCGTATCTATCCAACTACCGATCACACATCAATAGGGAAACATCATTGTTAGTTCGACGATGAACTTGAAACCAAATTAGAAAATAATTATACTGATTGTCTAATAAAAACTCTAGAACCTTAAATTAATTTGTGTCCCGCGATAATATTTTGTAAATTTTTAAAATATTTGTATAAATATTCAATTTCGGAGTCGTTTTATGTCGCTTTTATGTTCTCTGATCTTCAATATTTTCATACTCAAAACTTGTTACTTATTATCTTTGGTACTTATAATATAGAAATGCATAGGTATCATCTTAAACAAGAAAAGAAATTATCAAGAAAATAATTGATTTCATGGTAGAAATACTTATAATAATTTTTATAAATGTTTGGATGTACCAGAAACCACACATGATGGTTGATGTTTTATGCGGTCTTACAGTAGTATATTCGACAAATGGTATTACGTTTAATGATTTATTGTAATTTTTTATTTTAATACGAAGGATACCTCTTCAACTAAAACTGGCAAACAACAATACAAAAATACTGTATAATTAAAAAATAAATATAAAATTTAGTGCAAAGTTAATATATTTGTAAACTGAACATCTTTAAATAAAATAATTCTGGCTGCCTCCATCATGAAATTTTTTATAGTCAATTTCATTTAAGAATTTTTTTTCAAATGATCTTACCAAGTAATAAGCTGTGTCAGAATTATTAGTTAACAAATTCATATAATATTCTTTAACCTGATTTTTTTGAAAATTTTTGAATTTAAAAACTGTATTATTTTTCCATTTTTGTACATCCTTTTCTCCTGCTAGATTCAATACTGCAGCGATCGCGGGTTCCGTTAAAGCCAATAATTCTTTAATATCTAATTTTGGTGTAGTTGGTTCTTGAGTTTTATTCTTATCCGTTTCACTTGAATCTTGAGTATTTTCCTGAGACGTTTTACTTGGTTCTTCATTGTTTTCCTTATCCGCTTTACCAGTGTCCAGATTTTCCAACAATTGTGCTATTTTGTCTAAATCTGAAATTTCTTTTTGATTTAATTTCCCAACATTTTTAAAACGATTTATAAAGGTAGACATAATTTTTTTCAAACATTTGCTCACATATTGAGTTATTTTCTGTTCACTATCAACAAGTGTATGTGTTGACAAGATTTTTAATAATTCGATGTGGTTGAGCAATAAACTGAATATACTTGGCATCGAATTACGAATCACTTCTACGTGATTCTCTGCTATCAACGATCCATCTATTTCGTATTGATTATCTTCAACTTTTTTCAAGAATTCTTTTGATAACGATATTCTCAGCTTATTCAATGCGTAATTGAATTCGTCATTTTCTGTTTGGTTTATGAGCATCATGCCTTTCATTAATGCTGCATTAACCATAATGTCGCTGTTATTATAATTGTCATTTTTATAATTTTCTAGAAAGTCATTTAGATTTCCAACAACAGTATCTAGATCACTATCACCATATTCGCCTATATCATTTAGCGCTCTATCGTGTTCTATATTTTTTATCAACGGTTTTATAGTATCAATAACGGTGTCCATGTTTTTATCTCTTTTAATCATGTGTTTAACGTCAGTCATGTAGTAGAACACTCTTGATATATTTTCTAATTCTATTAATATATTATTGTCGTGTTGAAAGGCGAACAGTTGTGCCATTGAACCATTCACTGTTAGAACAATTTCATCAGGAATCCCTAGACGATTTGCGACATCATCTAGTTGGTCTTTAGATTTTAGCCAAGTTTTAAATATAGCTTTGAAAACACTTGCTGTAGCGTCATACAATTTGAATGAATCGGTACCAGGTTCACCCGGACTATCGTAAAACGATTCTGCTAATTGTAGAGCAATATGATTTTGACTTGCAAATGTGTGTGATTTATTTTTATTTACTACCGACATCTCTGATGTAATATAGTTATTACTATTTAGAGCTTGGTTATTTGATTTGTTCATCGAAAACTTAGAAGTTGAACGATTGTTATTTGTTGAAGATGGAAAAAGGATGCTTGATTTGGTTTTTTGACTTGATAGGTCAATACCTGACATTATACTAGTAGGGGAATTAGCTGTCATTAAGCCTACACCTTTCAACATACCTAGGCTTAATTTAGCACCAGACAAAAAAATACTCACCAAATAAAAATGAATAACTCGCATTTTGGTAGGTTACACTTAACTTGACTACTCAATAAATAGTTTGTAACTAATTCCAACTTCATAACATTTAATTATGCTTTGATATAAAATCGTTGAACAAATAACACTTCTACCAACCGATTATTTTATGTTTGAACAGTTTTTATTATTGCATTTTTACTATAATTTATACTAAAAGTCTAAAACAATTTTCATAAGCTTACATTTGAATACTAGTAACATAACAAAGGCATGTAGATTTTACATACAGGCACATTATACTTAAAGGTACAAACATTGACATATTGAGAATTACAATTTTTTCTATAAGCGTAAGAAGAAAAAAAAATGATAGAACTGGATCTCTATAATGACTTTATTTTTGTGTTATTATTTTAAAAAACATTAATCTCTGGGACTTAAAACAATGTTTCCTAATGTTATTACTTATTATGCTGTATGCCTACACAATTAAATTTAAATATTTATTTCAAGATCCCTTACTAATTATACCATGAACCTAGTTATAACAATTCTAGTGTTTAATATAGTATTATAATATGTTAGATGTTGTAGCAAAAATTGGTCCAGTTTATTGTTTTACAACTAATAGAAAAATACATGACTAATATGCATGACTAATGAATAATTCAAAACAAGAAATATTCTAAGAAATAAACCATGAATACAACAGTCTCTGCTCAAAATCGTTTTTCCCAAACTCATGTAATAATTGACCATCAAGTTCAATTTAATCGCAGCCATAACAGCGCCTCCACAGAGATGACGAGCGATGTACTCAAAACCTACTTGAGACTCTGCTCTCATAAGAAATCATGGGAGTGAGAGCGTGAAAATATCACCGACACTGACAAAAGTTAAGCTTTCAATTAAATATATCTATATATTCATATGTGCGAACGAATGTACGTCAGAAGATAGTGACTGTTATACCACTTGTAAACCACGATTCAAGATAGTATATTAGTATAGTAAAGTTGCCCATCAACTACGGTAAAATACTAAAATAGTTACTTACTCCACAATTTTGTTCACATGCAGCGTTGCTATAATAAAACCAATAAAATTCATTGTAGGTACTGGATTTCTTATCAAAAGTCGATTGATAACCAATAAGTAATAACCATACTATCTTAAACCGTGCCTTGTACATTATATTATGTAATATAATGTGTAAGGCAAATTCTGGGAGTGGCAAATTCTGTATTAGTGTTCTACCATACCAAATTATTATTATTTTTTAAATGTGACAAGATATACACCTACCTATAAAACATATGAAATAAAAATATAACAGCATATTGTAACACATATAAGCGTTTGTTTTAATTGGTGTGTAGAAAATGATTAAAAATTAAAGATAGGGTGCGTATAATTGGCACGAGACATCAAACGTATCTATTATGGGTTCATTAATAATTTAATAAGTGGAACTGAAGAGTACTTGGAATGCAGAATTAAACAGAGAGGATCGATGGACAGTCATGTAGTCAAATAGGGAAAGTACAGGTAGGAGAATCAACGTTCGGCTAGATTATAAAAGTAGAAAGTCAAATGTTCGCAAAAAAAGTATAACACGATTCTTTGTTGGAAACACTTTTATTAATAATTAAAAACAAACATAACAATATCATGCGCAATATGTCAGTGTTACAGACGCCACCTGTCCACGTACGACCGTCATAATGCTCCTGCCGAACTGTAGGACAGAACCTGGACGACTCACAATATTCGTCTCGACGAAGACATATTTTTATCACAGTTGTAATCAAAATATAATAATTATGACGTGGTCACATTCGCTTCATCGGCCAGGCGTATTTTAATAACTTACTATGCTAAAATGTAATAATCATTATTATTAGATTACCTACCAATAGTGTGTAAAATATTTGCAAACAAAAGTCAGTAGTATATTCTACCCATGAACTACATACCAATGAATCATTCAATTTATTATTTTTATATTAAATGTTGATTATTTCATTCTAATGATACCGTATTGAGTAACGTTTGATGGTTGATTATGATTTATTATTTTTGTATGAAGACTATCTATTTAACTAAGACAGACAAAGAACAATGCAAAAATATCGTACAAACATAAAAAATAAATATGAATTTTAGTGCAAAGTTATATTGTATTTGTGGAGTTCACATTTTTAAAATTTAAATAAAATAAACCTCGCTGCCTCCTTTATAAAATTTTTTATACTCAATTTCATTTAAGAAATTTTTTTCAAATTCACCAGCCAACAAATAAGCTGTGTCAGAGTTATAAGTTAACAATTTCATATAATATTCTGTATTTTGATTATCTTGAAAATCTTTGAATTTAAATATTGTATTAGTTTTCCATTTTTGTACATAGTGTCCTCCTGCTAGATTCAATACTATTGCGATTGCCTGTTCTTTTAAAGCCATTAATTCAATAATGAATTTTGGAATACTACGTTTTTGAGTTTTACCCGGATCCGTTTCACTTGGATCTTGAGTATTTCCTTGAACCGTTTCACTTGGATCTTGAGTATTTTCTTGAACCGTTTCACTTGGATCTTGAGTATTATCCAGAACCGTTATGCTTGGATCTTGAGTATTATCCTGATCCGTTTTACCAGTGTCCAACTTCTCCAACAATTTTGATATTACCTTTAAATCTGAAATTTCTTTTTGGGTTAATGTCCCAAAAATTTTAAGACGGTTTATGAAGGTATTAATAACAGCTATATGCAATTGGCTCGCAATTTTAATTTTTTCCTTTTCTGTATCGTCAAGCGTATGTGTGGACAACATTTTATATGATTCGATGTGGTTGTTCAATAAAATGAATAGACATGGCATCGTATTACGAATTATTTTTACGTGATTCTTTGCTACCAACGATCCATTTAATTCGTATTGGTTTTTTTTAACTTCTTTCAAGAAGTTGTCTGCTACTGATAGTCTCAGTTGATTCAATTCGTAACTCATTTCGTTATCTTCTGTTTCGTTTATCAGCATCAAGCCTTTCATTAACGCTATATTAATCATAATATCATTGTATTTATAACCATCTACTCTATAATTTATTAGAAAGCCCTTTAGATTGTTAACAACCGTTTCAAGATCACTATTACCATATTTAGCTGTTGAATTTTGTGCTCTATCATTTTCTATACGATTTATCAAGGATTGAGTATTAGCTATAATGGTTTCCCTATTTTCATCTCTTTTCATCATGTGTTCAATGTCAAACATGTAATAGAACACTCTTACTAAATGTTCTATTTGTATTTTTATGAAGTGTAGTATTGACATTGAACCAGTCACTGTTAAAGCAATATCTTCAGGAATACTGAAACTATTTGCCATATCTTTTTGTTTACTTTTCCAAGTTTTAAATACAGCTTTGATAACACTTACTGTGGCGTCATACAGGTTGAATGAATGGGAACCAGGTTCACCAGGATTATCATTTAATGTATGTGCTAATTGATCAATATTATTTTCACTTGTAAAATGGTCCGATTTGTTTCCATTTATTGCCGAGATCGGTGTTGTATTAATATTCTTCAGGGATAGATAGGGATTTATTTTGCTCACCGGATAGTTAAAATTTAAACGATTGTTTTTCATAAATAGAAAAGGACTACCTGAATTGGTTTTATTGCTTGATGAGCCACTGCTTAATGAAACACTATGGGACTGCAAACCTGCCGTTGACAATCCTTCAAACCCGCCTAGGCTTAATTTAACACAAGAAAAAAAAATACTAACTGAATAAAAATTAATAGCTTGCATTTTGGTAGGATCAACCTAACTTAACCACTCAATGAATAGCTTATAAGTTATAACTAATTTTAACTTCATAACATTCTATACAATGCTTTAATATAAAATCGTTGAACAAATAATACTCAACTATTGTATTTTTTTGTTTGAACAGTTTTCCTTTACCATATTGTACGATAATGCGTACTTAATGTCTATAACATTTGATATAAGCTTACAGTTGAATACTGCCAACATATGTTGCTAACAGGCATATTATTATACCTACCTTTTTTTTCTTTGTTTAACCTACAGTAAATAAGTACAGCCAGTACAGGCAGGCCGCATCAGGGACGCGCTTCTTCAGGTGCAGGTATTGCTTGAAGCACCCATATCCTGTAAGAACCTGAGTTACACGAAACTTGAAGTCTTTAGGACGTCTTTCCAGCCAAAAACTGTACACATAGGTACTAAAAGTACAAAAAACCCAAAACGATATAATCCACAAAAATATGGTTATTTCTATTTAAAGTTGTACGTCTTATATTGCTATCAAATATTTGACAATTTCCACCTTTATCTGGGACCGATGATTAGTTTATATTAAGTAAATATATTTAATTTATCTTAATATATATTATATATATATTATATTCACTGTATGGGCGCGAATAGTCACTCTTTTTATATAATTTAGCATATTATAATATACTTAAGTGCTAATCGGCAACCTTTACTTTTCCTCATTTCAAATTGTGGGCTCAAATCGCCTTAATTGTACATTATAATTGTGCGCTAATTGAAAATATATTGTTGGATTTTCATGTGCTGAAATCTAAGCGAGCATTACTTATTATTTTGCCACAGGCGCGATTCACCAATTACGTATTATAATATTGTATGTCGATTTATTTATACAGGCGCAGAGCAGCAGGCCAGCAGTGCACCGAAAAACTTTTGAATTTTTTTTATACGTTATTCTTTTTTTTTCATTCCGTTGAACCAGGGAGAGGGGGTATTTAATATTCTTCTGCTCTGGTTTGACCAAAAGGGCTGTACATATAATTATTCTATTTTATAATTTTGTGTTCCTGTGTAGCTTATATTCACAATATATTGTTCATACCCAGTAATACAGAAATTTGGTGAACCATTTATAAGCTTGTACCTTCTTATTAGTATTTTAATTACACACTCACAAAAATGCACACAACCACACACACCACCTACACACTGGCACTCACTGGTCACGGCGACCCTGTCCACTTACTTTGATCATTGCATATACATATTTACACACACAATACACAGGTCGGTCGGTACGTAGTGGTGTGGTACAGCTGCGCACCGATTATTTTGGTGACCGGGCTATCATTGTACGTATACCCGGCGCGTTGATGGGGAACTTTAAAGTCAATTAGTGAAAGTACAGGTAGGAGAATCGACATCCGGAAAGATTATGAACGTAGACAGTCAAATGGCCGCAAGAAAAGTCTAATACGAATTTTGGTCGGAAAAGCTTTTATTAAGAACAAGGACAAAACGTGTTACAGTCGCCACCTGTCCGTATACAAGCGTCATGACGTCATATTATATAATAATGCTCCTGCCGAACACTACAGCAGTTGTAGCTACAGTACTCTCCGTTGTTCGTCGTGACGACGACGTTTTATTACAACTGTAATCGAACCATAATATTTATGTGGTCTCAGCACATTCGCTTCATTGACCTCTTGTATATTAATAACTTTTTTTTTTTTTATTAGATAAAATTAGAGTATTTACGATCTGTAATATTTATATACAAGAATAAGTAAATTTGATGGTACAAAACAAAGGCTTGAAGAGGAGGAGGCCCACCAGTGTGGATACCCTCTTAATAACTTACTATGCTAAATTGTAATTATTATTATATTACTACCAATGATGCGTTAAATATATTTTGTATATTTTATAAATTACCGTCAGTAGTATAATCAAACTACATTATCGTCGGTGGAAAGGCCAACTGAGGTACTAACCTATCAAAAACCAAATTTTACACAGCACTACTAAAATAATAATAACTTTATTCCAAATTAATCTTTTTGTGTTCATTTTTCTTATTGTAAGACTCTATATCTTGTAATTATATGTGTGCACATTTTATTCATAGTTTCATCAATTACCAAATTAGAGGTATTAGTGGGTTATTTTAAGTGGCTGGCTAACATAAAAGTCATTGTTGGTTACATCATATGACATTAAGGGATATCTGTGGGTTACACTACTTTGCAAAAATAATAAATAGTATCCAAATAACGTAACCATCAATTAAATACTTAATACTAAATTCATTTAAAAAACAAAAATATTGCATTTTATTAACAATTTATTATTTAACAATTAACAGTATTGCAACAATTATAATAGTTACTTCCTGAGAGTATAATTCAGTAAAAATACTATAAATTATAAGTAAGTGAAATAGGTAACTATATTTTTAAACAATATAAAACATTTTAAGTGAAAACTGGTATAAAATAAAAATGACTTCTTTAATAATAATTATAGTAAAAAAATATTACCTTATATAACAATTAAAAATGTAATAGTTACATTTCTAGAATGAAACTTTTTATTAGTGATATTGTGATTTATGACTATCAAAATGATAAAGTTTGCCACACACTGCAGCGGTGCAGGTAGCGGTAAAATTGACCAATGTCTCTTAGCAGGAAAAATTTTTTGTCGGATCCACATCCGTGACGTCACTGTTATCTATGCAAGTCTCTGTGATACTATTCTGTATTATCAGCAATACAATAATATTGATAGCAATATTGAATATAATAAGAATCGTCGTCTTTTTAATAATTTAAATAATTGTTTTATTTACTTATTATTAATTAATTATTAAAATGTTAAAATGTGAAGTTAAAAAGAACATATATTTTTGTAATAACTTAAAGGCAAATTTAATTTAAAAAAAGAACATTTCAACAATAAAAATAATAATATTATTACAATTTATAATATTAAAAAAGTTGAAGTGTAATAAATTATAAATCACTTATTGGGTTGCATATTATACACAATTTATTAAATTGAATGGTTCACTAAAAACTTAATGGACCAATCGTGGGCCGCTAAATCTTGTTTAAGGGTCCATTAGCTCACTATTGATTCATTAAATGTTTTGTGCAACATACCTAGTGGTCAGTTAATAAATGTTGGCTACAATTATAATATACTCTCAATTAATTCACTTATGTCATTAGTTAGAGATAAAAGCTTTAAAAGGATAATTAAAATTGCAAAACAAAAAAAAACTTCTAAAATTATTCAAATTATTGCATCTCACAAAAATTGTTCTGAGGTAACACCAAACATGATATAGGAAATTGATGGTTACTGCATTTATGGTTGGTTAGTTCTACGACAAACAACGATGTTCTATTATATTAAGTTGAGAAAACCAATAAAATACCACTACATATTATGTTCTTAATGTCGGGTTGCACAAGACATTTAACGATTCTGTGATATCACAGAGACGTGCACAGATAACAGTGACGTCACGGATATGAATCCGACAAAAAATTTTTCCTGCGAATAGACATTCGTGTAAATGTCTGCCAGCATCGTTGATAAGAAGATGTCGGGTATCTAGTTAATATATATTATATCTGTGGTTTCAACCATGATTACAACGAGAAACATGTTATCACATTTCATATTTGGTTGGGTTGCGTTATTTGGCTGGTAAAAATATGGTGTTTGGCTTAAATACCGAGCCTTACACTGTTGCTTACATTACTTGACTGGAATAAATTGTGAATTGTTCCGATTCTAGTGGATGATGTTATGGCTTAAGTTAAATGGCATTATTTTGTTTATGAGGGTTGCGTAATTTGAGTGGAAGATAAATACAATTTTATACCAGAAATACTCATTTGTGGGTTACAATATTTGGCCAGAATGTGTATTAATGTGTCAAGAATAATATTCAATAATAACCTCACTTTAAAAAAAAAATTAGGGTTACATCAGTTGGCCTTCCACCGACGATATAATATGTATAACATGCAGGTTGATTATTATTTATTTTTTTTTAGTATGATTGATAAGAGTAATACAAACAAATTGTGAAAACATTATTAACATTATTCATTAAAAATTAAACATAAAACTATGTAAAAAGTTAATATATTTGTGAAGTTAAAATTTTTAAACATAAACAAGCTGGTGGCCTTCATCATGAAATTTTTTATAATCAATTCCCTCTACGAATTTTTTTTCAAATGCACCTACCAACGAAAAAGCTGTGTCAGCGTTAAGCTCCAACAAATTAATATAATATTGTTTATTTTGATCTTTTTGGAAATTTTTGAATTTAAATACTGAATTATTTTTCCATGTTTCTACATCCTCTTCTCCTGCTAGATTCAATACTGCTGCGACTGCAGTCTCTGTTGAAGCAGATAATTCTTTAATATCCAATTCGGGTGTAGTTGGTTCTTCAGTGTTTTTCAGATCCGTTTTACCTGCAGTGTCCAGCTTCTCCAACAATTCTGTTATTATGTCTAAGTCCGAAATTTCTTTTTTGTTTAATTCACCAAAATTTTTAAAACGGTGTACGAAAGTGGACATAATATTTTTGAACATGTTATTCACATATCGAGTTTTGTCCTTATCAACATCAACAAGTGTATGTGTTGACAAGATTTCTAATAATTCTATGTTGTTGTAAAATAAACTGAATATACATGGCATCGAATTACGAATCACTTCTACGTGATTCTTTGCTATCGACGATCCATCTATTTCGTATTGCTTATTTTGAACTTCTTCCAAGAAGTATTTTGTTAATGATCTTCTCAGTTTCTTCAATTCGTAGTTGAATTCCTCATTTTCTGTTTGGTTTATCAGCATCAAGCCCTTCATTAACTTTGCATTAACCATAATATCTTGATTATTATAATCGCCATTTTTAAATGTCGTTAGCAAGTCATTTAGATTTCCAACAACAGTATCTAGATCACTATCACCATATTCGTCTATATCGTTTAGTTCTCTATCCTGTTCTATATGTTCTATCAAAGTTTGTAATTGATCTATAACTGTTTTCCTATTTCTATCTCTTTGAATCATGTGTCCGATGTCAAACATGTAATAGAACATTCTTACTAAATGGCATAATTTTATGAGTTTATTACTGGATCTTTGGATCTCGAATAGTATTGATATTGTTTTATTCACTGATTCAACAATATTCTCGGAAATTCCGAAAGTTTTTGCGATATCTTCTAGTTCACTTTGAGTTCTTTCCAAGTTTTAAATATTAATTTGAAAATACATGCTGTAGCGTTATACAGTTTCAATGAAAGGGTACCAAGTTTACCAGGATTATCGAAGAACAAACTTGATAATTTATCAATACCATTTTCTCTTGTGAAAGTGTCTGATTTATTTTTTTTTACTGCCGATATCGCTGTTGTATTACAAGTATTATGCTTTAGAGGTAGATATTTATTGCTCCCCGAAAAGCCAACAGTTAAATTATTATTTGATGAAGATAGATAAGGGGTGCTTGATTCGGATGTTTGGTTGATTACGCCACTGCCGGATAAAACACCATTGGACTGAGTTGTCATTGGAAGTAAACTGCCCAGGCATGGTTTAACACAAGACAAAAAAATACTCACTGAATAAAAATCTATTTGCATTTTGGTCAGTTCAACCGAACTTGTCTACTCAATAGATAGTTTCTAACTAATTCCAACTTCATAACATTTCATAATACATTGGTATAAAATGTATGAACAAATAACAATTCTGCTCAAATATTTTTCTATGTTTGAACAGTTTTCCCTTACCATATTTTCAATTTCAGCTCGGATCGATGAATGTACCTATTAATTTTACAATGATGTGTGTTTTTTTATTATTTTTTTTTTTGTGTGTCTGTCATCGCTGTTTGAGGCAGTAAAACTACTTCGGTTATCTTCAACAGAATCTTGTTTGATGGAAATTGAACATAGTTGGTTCATTCAGGAGGTCAAAATTTAAAACACCCAATAGTTACTAACAGCGATAGTAGAAGCAAAATAAAAATTAAGGAAAAACTGGAAGTCTTACGTAAAATCGTTTTTTTACAAACTTGATTTTGGTTTTTGGTGTAACTCTAAAAAAAATTACTGTATAGATACATGCAACTTTCACTAGTTGTTTATATTTCTATTTTATATAGATAATAAAATGTTCAAAATATTTTGACGGTTTTCGATGTGTTTACGGACATTATCAATTTTTTTTGTTTTTTTTTTATACAAACGTCAATTACATTTTTTTTTTTTTTGGTTCAAAAAGTGTAAAATATTAATACAAGGCTCTTGATATATTGTTACAATAGTAGTTGCAGTGTTGTAAAAAATACTTTTAAAAAGTATTTGAGTAATTACTCAAATACTTATAAAATAAAGTATTTAAAATACCACCCAAATACTATCTATTGTAAAGTATTTGAGTATTACTCAAATACTTTCTAGAAGTATTTGAAATAATTTTCAAATACAAAACAAAAAATACGTACGTATACGACATACCTTACCTACCTAATGTTCGTATTATATTTCGCTATGATAATATACTATATTGGTAGGTAGTAGGTACCGAAACGTACCGTTCCAATCGTCGTCGAGTGTCGACGATAAACAGACGGTTTCTCAGAGTAACTAATATTAATTAGCTATTAATAGACGAAAACTAAAACCAATATAGAATTGTTCATAAATGATAAATATATATTATAATATTATTAAGACATTATTATTATTTGACAATGAATAAAAAGTTGAAGGAATAAAAAAAGTATTCAATAAAATAGTATTCAATAGTAAAAAAATGTATTTCAAATACCGTTCAAATACTTCAAAAATAAAAGTATTTGAAAAAGTATTCAATACGGAAAAAAGTATTTGAATACTTTTACTCAAATACTTTTACTCAAATACTTTACAACACTGAGTAGTTGAAAAAAAATATACATTAGGCACAATTTTTTTTTGTATAAATGTATTGTTCACATTTATGTGTGTTTTATAAAATTATTTTTTTCTGGTAGTTATTTTTTATAGAAAAAGGGTTAACTGCATGAGTTAAAGACATTTAAACAAAACATTTTAAGAAACACCTTTGTTTTAACATTTTAATTGCATATTCTTGTTTCAGATGTATGAATTATTATGAATAGTAAATTTGTTTCTAGGCATAAGGGTGAATTGAAGACCTGGTGAGCTCTCAAATCCTTCTAAGAGTTGATAGAGCATCAAAACATTATTTGTTTAGATTTATTTTATGAAGATTTTGCAGGTATATTCAATTTTTTTTTGTAAATTTTTATTACTGAATATTTTTTGACAATTTTAATAGTTTATATAAGTAGTTATTCCAGATGTTTATGTTTCCAATAAGATATATTTAAAAAATGATTTTATATTGTTTTCCCTTAAAGCGTGTTTTTTGTGTGGCTTATTCTTGTATATATACAGTGAAACTTCCATATAGGTAACAAAGTCTCATGGGGAACAAAAAAAATTCGTAATATAGAGGAATATAAATTAAATAGAACTTACGCATGATTAACAATGAAGGTCATGGTTCTGTAAAATAATTCGTTAAACAGAAAATTTCGTCAAATGAAAATTCGTTATATAAGTTTTACTGTCTAACACTAAGGGAAAAGTAATTCAATATACTTAAGTAGTAAAACATGATGAGGATAGACGTCGATTCTCAACCAGTCTGTAGTGAAACTCTTATAGCCATATGAATCTTCTCACCCAATTTTTATTCTTTCAATATAGTCTTCACTATAGGTACCACTACAGTGATAATGAATACCTTCTCATGCATGGAGGGAGTCAGTATAAGAGGAGTTGTTTTCCAACCCTTAAAAAACGAAACGCACTCATAAGGAGTAAGGACCTGAGGCTATCTCAATGAACAAAACTAATTATGTATTTTAATTTTAATTTTTTTAATTAAATATTTTAATCTCACTCTGTTTTTTAATTCTATAAAGTTAGATACTTGTGGCGTTCTGCTCTTTAAATGCGATTCTGTAAGTTCTTTTTATCTTTAATTATATGTTTTACCATAGCAATAATTAATATAACTCAATTCATCAATAGTTGACACTAATGTAGTGGTTTTTAATCTGACTAAAATATAATTTATGAAATTGACAATGCATATTCCTATACATAATGTCGGTTTAATGTAATACGTACTATTCAAGCTATGGTTCATTCAAGCTAATGGTTTCTAGGACTGTATTAATTAGTATTTGTTTTATTTTAGGTAGGTATATGTAACTAGTAATTTTATTTAAGAAAGTAGTTATTTTTGCTTGTTTAATTGATAAGAACATTTAACAAAATACTTATGTTATTTAACAACTATATTATATTAGTTAATGATATTTGGATTTGTTAAGATCAATAGGGATTAATTATTTTCAGAATATATTTTGTATTTAATGTTTTAATAATGTTATCTATAAAAAGATCAAAACATTTGTGTAAATATTACATATAAATACGTAAAGACTGATTTTAAAGGTTTGTTTTTTTTTTAGAGGACGCCAAATCTGCATGTGTTAAATGTCTGAGTCTTACAAACGTTCAACATAATAATATTACCTTTAAAATTTAATGTTATCGTGTGTCAATTTACTCTAATTTTTAATTTACTGAGTAAAATGTATTATTGTGAATTCAAAATTTGTCATGTTGTATACGATTGTAAGACGGAGCAACACATGTGCCGAGGGTGATGGGATCTGTGGATATGTGATTACGTAACAATTGTACCTAGGTATTTATTGTAGCTTATACTGACGTAGATATTTTAAATGCAAATTAAATCTGTTATAATCGTAATACCAACAATCGATTAATATCAAAGTTTATAAACTAAAACTATCAACCTATATAATATGTATTTAATTAAAATTGAAATAATTTTAAAACGATACATATAGTATCCAAGTAAAACATTTAGGTTTACATAATTCTAAAAGTATAAAAATACAATTATTTTAACTCTGAATAAAAAAATCATAACCGAATAATATTTCTTTTAACAAAAATACACAAAATTAAAAAGCGTTCCCCTTATTTCACAAAATGTACATAGTACGCAAAAGCTAAGACGGGAGTCTTTGTGCGACAAATAATGTTGTTAATATTAATCGTTATCAGATAAGGAAATCCAGTAGTTTTAATTTTCCCTGATATTATAAGATTTCCTATAGTTTACTTAAAATGTACTTATCGTACTAGGTAACTTGTCGTTATGTGATAAAAAAATAACTTTTATTTTTTATTTGATTTAATTTAATCACTTCAAAAAAAAACATGTATTTTATTTAACACGGAAAAAGCTCAGAATACTCACATGTGTTGCAATACGAAATTAGGTATAATATTGAAGGCATTGTATTGATTGTATTTGTATTCGCTACAAATATTTGTCTAAACTTAATGCTTTATCAAATAGTACGTAAAATATGTGTACAGAGTGCATACTGTTAAAGCTGCTGAAATCGGGAAATTCCACCTTATATTATACAATTACAAAATAATACGTATTTCATTCTGTATCTGTTCACGGTTATTGAACACTCTGTATGTTATTAAATTTGTATTTATATATTACTTGACACTATCATTTCAAAGCTCAGGGAGAACGTGAAAAGTGAAATCATTGCAATTACTATGTCAAGTGAATAGTGTGGTGTGCACACAATGTTAAATGTAAAGCGATAAAGTTTTCGTGTGCAATGGTTGTACTTATTCGAGTAGTGCTCAAAGTTTTGTACCTTGTTTTCAGTTCTCTGCATACATAAATTATTCACATCTCTCAAAAATATCTGTTTTCATAAATAACCTGTCTGGAATTTCATGTCAGGAGCAAACAATCGGAGTCGCTTCTCTCTACCCCGCTCTCTCTCTCAATCTCTCTCTCTCACTCTCTCGCCATCTCCCTTTCTTTCTCCCCGTATGTCTTATCGAAGTCGAGTTGGCACTTTTTGTTTTAATTATTAACAACATCAAAATATTTATTATACATTTTACAGCGTTCGACTGGAGAAGAAATCGAGAGGAATATCTACCACCTGCACGTGGTGCACTGCGATCGATGAAAGCCAAAAAAAGGAAAAACGATCGTGATTTTTCTGAACGCCCTTGGTACGCTTTAGTATTATTGTCATCGGACGTGAAACTATTAATCTTGGTCTAGTCACCACCACTACGCCACCATTCGGTAGTAAGTAGGTATTTTATTTGTTGGCCCGGTAATCCACACGAACCGGGGAAAAAAATATCGTATTCAGAGTGTACCGCTACGTGGCAAATAAATCTGAGACCAACTGCTCAGGGTAGTTATTGTTATGTGTATTTTTTTTTTAAATTAGAGATTTATATTTTTTTATTATATTATAAAAAAAGGCAAAAGGCATTGATAAAATAAAACTAAGTTCAATATCTACACTTCGGCATTCTTGCGTGTGTTAGTGGATAAGGTCGACGGATCTATTGAAGGGCCTGCCAGATTTGACAGCACTCGACTTTTTGAGAGTGTTAAAGCAATATTTTGCAAAACAACAAGCCAAGACAAGAACCTGGACAGTGTGTTAAAATTTAAATTAATAAAGTGCTAC